AGATCAATTAAAATCAATCCTTTGGGAACGAGATGATTTAAAGCATAGAAATCATGGATTGGAAACTAAAATTAAAGTCTTACAAGATCAGATTAATCAATCTGGTCAATACCTTGAAGAATGTGAATCTTTAAAAAATCAAAACGAAAATTTACATAATGGAATTCGTCAATTACAAACTGTGATCATAACTTCCAACAAAGAACGTGACGATGTAAGAGGAAAATATCAATTATTAGAGTTATATTTAAATCAAATGCAAAAAAAACTATCTGATAATGAAAAGTTGGTAATTGAATTGAATGAAATTAAAAATCAAAATAATGATATCATGTTAGAAAATAAGAATTTACATGAAGAAGTCGACCGTTTACGTGAAAATGGTGATGATCTTACTACTAATATTAATAAATTACAAAATGAATTATCATTTTTCATAAAACAACGTGATGAAAATGCTGCTTACGATCAGGTTGTTGAAGGTGAAGCAAAGTTGGAAGCTAACCATGAAGAATACAAAAGATTACAGAACCAACGTGATGAATTATCTGGTTTAGTTCAAAATATTACAAAAGAACGCGATGAATTATCTGGCTTAGTTCAAAACATTACAAAAGAACGTGATGAATTATCTGATTTAGTTCAAAACATTACAAAAGAACGCGATGAATTATCTGGTTTAGTTCAAACCATTACAAAAGAACGCGATGAATTATCTGGTTTAGTTCAAACCATTACAAAAGAACGCGATGAATTATCTGGTTTAGTTCAAACCATTACAAAAGATCGTGATGATCTTTCATCACAATTATCGCGACTAGAAACTGAATTAAATGTGACACGTCAGCAAAGAAATGAATTAACAAAAAATAATAATACTTTGTCTTCTCAATCAGAACAATTGCAAATTAAATTGGATAATGTTATTCAACATCGTGATGAAATATCAAATAAGAATAATAATTCAATATCTCAACTAGAGCGAATTCAAGATGAATTAAATCAAATGATAAATCAACAAAAGGATAAAGATTCTTCTCTTGGTGATGTAACAAGAGAATTAAATAGAATGAAAGAACAATATCATACATTAAATGAACAACATGAAGAATTACAACGTCAAAATCATGATCTTGCTTTTGAACAAGAACGTTTGCAAACCGAAAATGAACGTTTACAGACCGAGCTCGAACGCTTTCAAACATCCTCAAATAATGTTGTCCATCAACATGATGAATTCAAGTTTCAGAATGAATCACACAATAAAGAAATTGAAGCAAATACTTCACAACAGATCAATGAAGAATTTGATATTGTTCGTCAGAGAAGAGATGAATTATCTACTGAGAATGCGGCATTGCATGTGGAAGTGGGTCGTCTTCGTGATTTATTAAATGATCTCACTGTTGAACTTGAACGATCACGAAAAGGATCGAATGATCTGATGCAACAGCGAGATGGATTTAAATCTCTAAATGAAGAGCTTATGTCAGAACTTTCAAGAATAAAGCACGAATTGGATGTTGAAGTTCTTGAAAATTATTCGTCCACCCCTGAAAATATTAACTCTCGCCTCCCACCTATCCTACCTACTCGAAGTACTCGAAGTTCGACTTACCCTGCTTATGCACC